TTTCTTCACAGCGCACCGTTCCTTCGCTGCTTGAACGTTTTCCACTGCCTCCGCATGTGGACTTTTCTAACCCCTCTAGTCCGTAGGAACCCTTACCTGCGGATTTCAAGTATCTTTATCATTGCCAATCATGGCCTATTTACAGTGGAATATACGCGGCCTCAGGGGTAATCGGGGTGAGCTTCAGATGTTACTCTCCCAGTTTGCCCCTGTTGGTGTTTGCTTACAGGAACCAAAATTACACTCTGCTGTTATTTCTCCCATCTCAGGCTATAATTTATTGTATTCTTCACATCCTTTTCCTGATGGGACCTTTAATCAAAGTGCCCTTCTTCTATGCACTGATATTCCATACCATCAGCTATTTGTTCATACTTCACTGCATTACACAGCAGCCCGTATCCACTTACATAGGTGGTATACGCTCTGTTCTTTATATCTCTCTCCTTCTCGGGCATTATCTATTCCGGATATTGCCTTTCTTGTTTCGTCATTACCGCCACCGATTCTGTTACTTGGTGATTTTAATGCCCACCATTTCCTCTGGGGGGGGGTCTCACTGTGATTCCCGTGGAATTCAGTTAGAGGCTTTTCTTGCCACCCACCCCCTCCATGTTTTAAATACAGGTACTCACACCCATTTTGATCCTCGGACTCATACTCTCTCTTGCATTGATCTCTCAGTCTGCTCTTCCTCTGCCACATTAGACTTCACTTGGTCTGTTCTCCCAGACTTACATGACAGTGATCATTTCCCAATCATTCTTACTTCCCCTTCATATTCGCCACCTCTTCGCACCCCACGCTGGCAATTTGATCGGGCAAATTGGAACCTTTACTCTCCTAACTGTTTTTAAAGAGGTTCCTTCTTCATCCTCCATCGATGAGCTTTTACACCTCTTCTCGTCCTCCGTTTTAACCACAGCTTCTCATTCTATACCCCAAACTTCGGGCAGGCATTCTCAGAAATGCGTGCCTTGGTGGTCTCCTGCTTGTGCTCGTGCAGAACGTTTGAAACGCGCTGCATGGGGCAGGTATCGGTACAATAGAACCACAGAGAGACTCCTTGATTTTAAACAGAAGCGTGCGATCGCTCGCCGTGTCATCCGTGACGCTAAACGCACTTGCTGGCGAGATTATGTTTCCACCATCACCTCTGCTTCCTCTATGAGTGCAGTCTGGAAAAAAGTACGAAAACTGAGTGGTAAATATTCTCCTGACCCGGCTCCTGTTCTGCGGGTTGCTGGTGTTGATAAAGCAAACCCACTAGATGTTGCCAATGAAATTGGCAATCATCTGGTCCGTATTTCTCAGGGACTCCATCTATGCCCCTCATTTCTTTCCTCAAAGTCTGCCAGAGAGTTAGCACCCTTGGACTTTTTTTCTCTCAGAGAAGAACAGTATAATGTGCCTTTTACACTTCAAGAACTGGAGGCAACACTCTCAGCTTGTCGATCATCGGCAGCTGGGCCCGACGACATTCATATTCGTATGCTACAACATTTACATCAGTCAGCCCTTGCAGTCCTATTACGCCTTTACAATCTTATTTGGTCACAAGGAGTTCTTCCACAGCTGTGGAAATCCGCCATTGTTCTCCCTTTCCGCAAACCAGGCACTACGGGACATGAAACCTCCCACTATTGTCCCATTGCTCTTACCAGTGCAGTTTGCAAAGTAATGGAACGCCTAGTAAATAGACGTTTAGTGTGGTATTTAGAGACACAACAGTCTCTCCACTCGTCAATATGGCTTTCGTAAGGGACGTTCTACCATAGACCCCTTACTACACTTGGATACGTATGTTCGTAATGCCTTTGCGAATAACCACTCAGTTATTGCCATATTTTTTGACCTTGAGAAGGCATATGACACAACTTGGAGGTATAATATTTTAGCCCAAGCCCACTCCTTAGGCCTTCAAGGCAATCTACCATCCTTCCTTAAGAACTTTTTAACTGACAGGCATTTCCGTGTTCGGGTTAATAATGTGCTCTCCCCGGACTTTATCCAAGCTGAAGGTGTCCCCCAGGGATGTGTTCTGAGCACACACTTTTTCTCCTTGCTATTAATGATTTGGCCTCTAGTCTTCCATCAAATATTTGGTCATCACTCTATGTTGATGACTTCGCTATTGCCTGTGCAGGCGCTGACTGTCACCTCTTTTACAGTTTCTCTCCAACATGCAGTCGACCGTGTTTCCAATTGGGCCACCACACGTGGGTTTAAATTTTCCAGCACTAAAACCCACCAAATTACTTTCACTAGACGCTCTGTCATTTCCGATCATCCTTTGTACCTCTATGGCTCCCGTATCCCTGAACGTGATACAGTCAAGTTTCTGGGCCTCCTCTTTGATCGTAGGTTATCCTGGAAACCTCACATTACCTCTCTGAAGGCAACTTGTCACAGCCGGCTGAACCTTCTTAAAACCCTTGCTCATCTTTCATGGGGGGCTGATCGTCGAACCCTCCTTCGCCTACATTCCACCCTTATTTTATCGAAACTTGATTATAGTGACCAGATCTATTCAGCGGCAACTCCTGCTACTCTCTCTAGCCTTAACCCCATTCATCACCAAGGATTACGTTTATGCCTTGGTGCTTTTTGCTCTTCCCCTGTCGAGAGCCTCTATGCAGAAGCAAACGTTCCATCCTTATCCGATCGCCGTGATGCCCATTGCCTGCACTACTACGTACGCTCTCATGATCTCCGCAATCCTTCCATTTATAGAATGGTCACTGATATTAGTAGACATTCTTTATTTGTTCGCCGCCCCTGTTTACTCCGTCCCTTCTCTCTTCGCCTTCATACGCTCGTCTTCTCTTCAACTACCACCTTTCTATGTACATGTAGCATCTCACTTTTCCCTACCCCCCTGGGAAGTTCCAGCTGTTCGGGTCTGTTCTTTCTCCCTCCCTTGCTCGAAAGCCCAACTGTCTACGGTCGCTTCCCGCTCTCTTTTTCTTGACCACTTTCACTCTCATTCTCATGCCATTGCTGTATACACAGATGGCTCTAAGTCTTCTGACAGCGTAGGATTCGCAGCAGTGTTTCCGGACAGCGTCGTACAACGGCATTTACTATCTTCGGCTAGTATTTTTACTGCTGAATTATATGCCATCCTTACAGCACTTATCCGTATTGCATCTATGCCTGTGTCATCATTTGTGGTTATCTCAGACTCCCTTAGTGCTTTACAGGCTATACAAAAATTTGATACACCTCACCCCTTAGTCTTCCGTATCCAACTTTGGCTACGCCGCATCTTTACCAAGCATAAAGATATTGTTTTTTGTTGGGTCCCTGGTCATGTTGACGTACAGGGCAATGAACAGGCAGACACTGCTGCGCGGTCAGCAGTACATGAAACCCACCAGTTTCTTATAGAGGTATTCCATTTACGGACTATTTTGCTGCAATATCTTCCCACCTTCACACCCATTGGCAACAACGTTGGTATACTATGCTCAGCAACAAACTTCAATCTATTAAACCGAGTATAGGTTACTGGCCGTCTTCTTATCACCAGTGTCGAGGTTGGGAGACTACTCTCTCTCGTCTTCGCATTGGCCATACTCGTCTTACTCATGGATATCTCATGGAGAGGCGTCTTGCTCCTCTCTGTGAGAATTGCCAAGCTCCATTATCAGTCAGCCACATTCTGTTGGACTGCCCATTTTATCAACGAGCATGCAGAATTTACCTCTGTCGTCGTCTTCGCTCCGCTGCTCTCTCTTTACCTTCCCTTCTCGCTGATGGACCCACCTTTCATCCGGACACTCTCATTGACTTTTTGACAATAACTGACTTACTTCACAAATTCTGATACCTTCAGCCCTTTCTACTTCAATCTCTTGCTACCCTCTACCCCCGTACTATCCCCTGCCCCGCTGTTTTCTGTAACCTGCTGATCATCCCTCCTCCCTTCTGCCATCCAATACCCTCGCTTCCTTCCCTACCCTGCAGCGCTGTATAGCCCTTGTGGCTTAGCGCTTCTTTTTTATTATAATAATATTATTATTATTATTATTGTAGTCATTTTAAGATCTAAACCCAAAAGGGTCATACAGTGCCTTAGACTGTAATCCTTCCAATATGAAAGATGCTTGGACTCAGAGTGATATGGCATCAAAGTGTTTGTAATGAGTCATTCACATACAATAATCTCAACAACATATAATAGACTGCCAAATATAAATACATTAACTGCAGTTTATTATCTTAGAGTTGCAAAATAACTTAAATTCATCAGTGTTGGCAACTCTCACATCATTACTTTGAAAGTGTATACCATTTGCTAACTTTATAAATTTTCTGCCACAGTGTAAAGTATCAATAAATGACAAAAATATTTTATTTGCTTTTATTAACTTTATAAAAAAATACACAGGTCATTCATTCTCTTAAAATGCTACAGATGCACTTCATTGATTCAATAATTATAAATAAATGGGATACAAAACCATCACTATATTCAAAAACTTACCTAAGTGATGAATATTGCACATTAATGCCTTTACCTTAGAGAATGGCACTAAGGACTTTGAATTTAAGTTACTATAGCTCTTACATCTTCCAACTGCATAAAGCTCCTGCAATAAACTTACTGACCACCCTAATCAAAGAAAAAATATGGATTTCACAATGAGATAGCATAATGGTACATAAAAAAATATTCTACTGTAATATACTGTATATTCTTTCATGTTAATTTCAACCTCCATTTGTGATACATTATGACCAGCAAAAAACTTGTCCCATAACCAGGCTTTAAGAAATTGTCAAACTTTAACTACTATATGCCAGCATCTTTTTGCATAATCATGGAATGCTTATGCTGCTGATATTCTTTATGTAAGCCACCATCAATATCATGCATGATAAGTCCATAGTTTACATGTATCAGACACTCGCTTAAGGATGGAAACATATTTGGCTTTCATTAGGTACATACATATTTCAATAATGTTTGATTAAAGTCTGAATTTTGTGCCTGGTCACTTTAAAGTGACATCAATTGAATGAGGATTTAGCTATTTAGCAATAAAAATTACTCAATTATGTGGCGATATACAAATGTTCTATATATTCATTTCTTTTGAACATTATCATAAATGCTATTATCTTCACTCTTACAAAAAATGCATATTATAAAGATTAACTTTTGAACATTTAAATAAAAATAATAAAACTATACCTAAAATATAAAAATCTGATGAAATACACTGAATAGTTCTTTCCATTTATACAGCTTTGCATATACAAATATATTTTAATTAGACAATAATATCAAGAGCATTGTGAATACACATACAGTGGACCCCCGGTTAACGATATTTTTTCATTCCAGAAGTATGTTCAGGTGCCAGTACTGACTGAATTTGTTCCCATAAGGAATATTGTGAAGTAGATTAGTCCATTTCAGATCCCCAAGCATACACATACAAACGCACTTACATAAATACACTTACATAATTGGTCGCATTGGGAGGCGATCGTTATGCGGGGGTCCACTGTATATCCTTAAGGATTTTTCATTTCCAGTACTACAATCCACTCAATTTAGAATTCATAAATTAAGATAAATACAAAAAGCTATGATTTATATGTATTACGAGACTATTTACCAACTCGCTGCACCGACCACTCTTGTTGACACAGAGGGCAGCGATTATTCTGTTTCACCCATAAGCTCATACAACAGTTGTGGAAAGAGTGATTGCATTCTCCCCAGATTACCACACAGTCATCCTGTTTATTTTCCCCCTGGCACCGAAGGCATGCATCTGGAAAAGCAAGAAATAAAGTGATCAATTTTCTAAAATTCACCAAATTTTTTACTATTAGTTCTAGTCTTGTACAAGAAGAAGGTAGACTTAAACTACTGATATTTACTTAGCTCATTTAAGTTTAAATTCTACACAAAAATCATCATTAGTGAATAATCAACTAAAACAGGTTACACTATGACACTACAATCAGAATGCTAAAAAACATGGCAAAAAAAAAAAAAAAAACTTTAAATACTATACTCTGTACTGTACCCTCATTTACAGCTGTAATAGAATAAACCTCAAAAATAAAGGTAGATTTTGCCCATTATTTTAAGTCTTACATTGAGGAGCAATAAATCAAGGGTTTAAGGTACATTCCAGTAATGTACAGCAAGGCACAAGGAAATGGGGTCACGGGAAAAGGGGTTACCTTTCTTGGATCATCCAATAACTGAAATACAGTAGTTATTATTGTTATAATGGCTGATATGTCTATAAATAACAATTTCTCTAACAATTGAGTGTGTTTTCAGTGTCCTGGACATGTAACTAATGCAGATAGTTATGTTAAGAAGCCTCTTCAAGGGGGGCTCCTTGGCGTGGTGAAGAGGCTCTTGGTCTGAGGAATTAGACCTGTCGGTCTCCTTCCTCAGACCGAACCTAATTACCCCCCAATCCCCCCTTCCCTATCCCATCCTCCCCTTTTCCCTTTCCTCCTCCCCCTCCCCACCCCTCCCTTTTGCCCTTCCTCTTTTTGGCCTTTGGGATTTTTCCCACAGGCGCGCTAGTTCCTAGGTAGGAGAAAGGGTACCAGGTTCCATCCCATTCCGTTGAGGTTCTTGGCGGTGGCATAGTTTGCTGTGGAATCTGGATCGCCTGGGGATGTCCCGATCCCTCTCCGGTATCCCAGAGAGTTGCTTTGGGTGTCTTTCGGATGACGGGTGTATCTCTGGAAGCCACCTTTCGGATTCCGGGGGTGGTGGCCGAAGGAGGTATGCTTTGTGGCGGATATCCGGCCGCCCTCTCTTTTGTCCACCGAGGTAGCTCGGCAGATGCGAGGTTGCTATCCCGGATTGCTGGTTTACTGGCATGATGGGTAGGGTATGGCACGGGTTCCATGCTGCATCAAATGCTACTTGCGGTGCTGAGGTCCTCTTGGGCGCGGAGGGAGATTTCTGGCCCTTTCACTCCTCCTAGGAACTATCCCTCCCCAGTCCCCCATTTTTTTTATTTTTATTTTATTTTCTTTCTTTTTTTTTTTAAAAAAAAAAGAAAGAATTTAACCTAACCATGGAGAACCCAATCCATGAACCTTACCCCCGGGCCCCTTCTTGATACCGCACCCCGTTCTGACCCCACCTCGTCTTTGGACCACTCTTCGGACACTCTTCATGCCTCGTACCTCTTGCCCGGGGCTGTTTCCTCACCTGCTTCAGGTTTTCTGAGGTTCAAATGACTCCCTTTTATTTATTTTGACTCCCCTCTCCCTTTTACTATGTTCCAGCTCTCCCTCTACGGTGCGGAATTTTTCGATCGCCGGCCCATTCCACGTCAGACCAACTCTGGTCCCTGCCTAAACGCCCAAAGATAATTACCCGCTGATGATACTTCTCCCCTTTCGTTTTTCTCAGAAAAGATCGCACGTCTTGCACTCCCTTTCCATGCTCAGTTTCAGACTGCACAATGGACTAAATTCTTCACTTTACGACCGACTTCCTCTCCGCCTATCTTTCCGACCACAGTATTGGCAAGGCAATCCTACGCCATGTTGGTAAAGATATTTCTTTTCATGCTCTTAAGAGGGGTACGTGCATCATCACTGTACAAAATTTGCTACCAAGCTCATGATCTTTCTCTTCTTTCCCATACAGATACTGTTCCTGTCACTATTGAAAAACATCATTCCCTCAATTCTTGTAGTGGTACAGTCATTCTGCCCCTACCATAGTTCAAAAAAATTTCCAGACATTGTGGCAATGAATTCTTGAACAGCTGGAGCTCCAAGTTTCCCCCAAATCCTCAAGTAGCCTTATGTTTTTCCCTGCTAGTGGGCGGAGACGATTCCCTGAATGTGGCTCTTTTAAACTTTCGACAGCCGTGAACTCCCTCCTCGTTTATGTAGCAGGACATCGGTTACAAGTTTGAAAGGTGATCCCTACACCGCAACAGTGTAGAAATTGCTGGCGATTTGGCCATCAGGAAATATTGCAGATCCATAGCTGAATGCCCAGTCTGTGGTGCCGATGACCATTCTATACGTTTTTGCAACGACCTCCCTCTTGCCTTAATTGTCTGAGGCTTTACCTTCGTACTCTTGCCGTTGCCAAGTTACTTAAATGAGCGGGAAATCCCTTACCTCAAAGAAGCAGAAGGGTCTCTCTTATGCCATGGCAGTTTCTCATCTCCGCCTCCAAGGGAGAATACCTCGTGTTTCTTATTCCCGTGTTTCAAAACATCCCCCACTTTTTGGGGTCCCATTTCTGCAGCCTCCTCTGTGGTTACTCTCCCATAGTCACTCCTGTATCTAATTCTTTGCTGTCCTAGGCCCCAGTCTGTTCTCGCTTCTTCGTGTTTCCTCACAAGCCTCAGTATCGACGAGACCTCGTACGACACCTCCTCCCAATCGTCCCTTACTTCCCAGAAGTCTAAAAAAAGGTCCTTTAACCCCTCCTTCCTTATTCCACCTCCTCATTTTACCTTCCCTGTCTCTGTACCGGGTTCTTCCCTTCACTGGCTGTAACAAGTGTAGAGGTTCACCCTCCTCCTCGTAACTATACCTACCTCCCCTGTTCCCTCCCCAAATTTCTTCCTCTTTTGCCACCTCCGAGGTTTCTGCCTCTTCTGTCCCTTCCACGCTTCTTTTTCCAGTTCCCTCCACCCTTTTGCCCCCCTCCCTACCTTGGTACAGTCCATTACAGTTCCATTCTTTACTCATCCTCCCCCTACCATCTCCAATATTTCCTCCCATGCGACATCTCTGAATTCCCAAAACACTTGAAGCAAACTCTGAATATATTGCAGAGACCAAACCATCAATGGACACTGATCCACCCTCTGTTCCTTCTCTGTCTCCCTCCATCTGCGCAACTCCTTTCTTCACAGCGCAAACCCTTCCTTTGCTGCTTGAACGTTTTCCGCTGCCTCCGCATGTGGATTTTTTTAACCTCTAGTCCTAGGACCCTTATCTGCGGATTTCAATATCTTTTCATTAAAATTGGGCCATCAGG